AGCTCAGAGGCGACCACCGCAGTGAGCTCCACGATCCCTGCAGTGAGCTCTGCGATCCCCGCAGTCAGCTTTGAGGCAAACCCCACAGTGAGCTGGGAGGCGATCCCAGCAGTGAGCTCCGCGATCCCCTCAGTGAGCTGGGAGGCGATCCCAGCAGTGAGCTCCGCGATCCCCTCAGTGAGCTGGGAGGCGATCCCCTCAGTGAGCTGGGAGGCGATCCCTACAGTGAGCTGGGAAGGGATCCCCACAGTGAGCTGGGAAGCGACCCCCGGTGTATATGCAGACTTGCTCTCCTTAGTGAGCACAGAGGCAATCCCGGGGGTGAGCGGCGCAGCAGCAGCTGCTAGGGTGAACATAGACACGCTCACAGAGGTGAGCATGGACACAGCCTCCGAAGTGAGTACAGAAACATCCCCGCTGAGCAGTGTGGAAGCCTCTCCAGTGGTGAGCTTGGACACCTCCCCAGAGGTGAGCACAGATGCTTCCCCTGTGGCAAGCGTGGACTTCTCTCTTGAGGGGAGTATCGAAGCCTCCCCGGAGAGTATGCAGGTGCCGCCTGAAGCAAATGTGGAAGTTCGCCCTAGGGCAGATGGAGAAACAGGGCCCATCACAAGTGTGCAAGAATCACGCCAGGAAAGTGGGGAAGCTCCCCCTGAAGTGCTGGTAGAAGCAACACCCCAAGCGAGTGTGGAAGAACCCTCCAAAGAACCCCCCAAGGTGAGTGGTGAAAGCATTCTAAGATAAAACTGGCTCTCCAGAGTTTGTCGAGGGCTTTTCACTGACAGCTTTTCTAATAAAATACGTAGTTTTATTGCATAGATCACAGTGGGTCAGGCTTTACAATGGGACTAATTTGTCATTCATTTTACTCTGCAATAAAAAGGAGCTAACCCACTTAAACTAATAATTTTACATTCTCTCGTGTTCATTGTACCAGCATCTTCCCCCCAATGCTAGGTTATTAGTTAATTTTTCAGACATGACAGAAAATGTATCTGTTTATATGAACTGTTTCTAAATTCTGAAGAGTTTTTGAAAAATATTCCAAACCCTTAATTAAGACTTAGAAATGGAATTAGGTTTTTGAAGTAAAATTTATTTTAATTTATTTCTTTGATCTCTTGAATAGTGTCTTGAAGAAAATATCTCTCTGTACAGTACCTGACTTTCATGCACTAAAGGAAAATTGGGCATTTAAGAAACTAACAGTTATGTTTTAATTTTTTATATTTTGGGTACTGGGAATCAAACTCAGGACCTCACACTTTCCAGGCAGGCACTGTGCCACTGAGCTAAAGCCCCAGCCCTTAACAGTTGCATTTCATTCAGAATGTTTTCCTCTTAGAAAGCTAGCTGCAGTGAAATAATTGCTAGTAAATTTTTACTACATTGATCTGCTCAGAAACCAGAAATGGACAAACAGACCACAAATCCTTTTATCAAGAAGCGACCATCAGGAAACATACCACGCTATAAATGGCCTGCATCTCCTACAAAGGAGAGACGTCCACCCTCACCCATAACTGCTACGTAAGTAGTCTGTGTGCAGTTGTTCTTCACTGTGATCAGTTTCATTTCAGTGTTCCATAGATGAAATGTATAGTATATATGGCAACACAAATGTAAAGAAAAAAGCTATAAAAGTAGATTTACTTCTGTCAATTTAAAAAATTCCCAGAGGATAATACCATTATCACACAATATTAAGGTGAGGGGGGCTGGGGATCAAACCCAAGGCCTTGCACATACTAAGCAACCACTCGACCCACTGAGCTATATACCCACAGCCCTAGATATTATATTTGATGAAATTGTATACTGAAATTAATTAGCACACATTTGTTACTTTTTCTCAGGCAAAGTCAAAAGAACCGCCCCCCATCGCCTTCACCACTGCTAAAATATTCATCACAGCCATCTCTGTCCTATAAAATAACACCTGTTCATCGAACTCTACTTGTGCCAAATGCGTTAGGTACTTTCAGAAAGAGAAGAGAAACCATTTCTAAAACTACAAATGAATTTGAGGCTATGAGCCAAAAGTATATGATTCATGAGGGTAAGTTTATTCTAAATTATTTTTGTAACACAAAAATACCTTAAGGTACTTTGGGAATGTTCAGCTTCATTTTCTCCCACCTGAGATAAAGAGAATTTAATCAACCAGTGATCCTGAATTGTCTTCCCTTGCTTGTCTTTGTCCAAGCCTCTCACCCCATCCCTTTGCTTTTGGAAGGTATGTTTTTGGATGAGAAAGTTGGTCTAGGTCAGTGGTGGTGAACCTATGACATGCGTGCCACAGCGAGCTGTTTGTTACCATCAAAGTGCTAAAAGGTTTGCCATCAGTGGTCCAGGTGATCCACATGGACACCTCCAGCTTTGATATTGAATGGTGGTTGGAGACAGCACGGCTAGCTATTTGTGGGTGAGCAGGTTTTCACAAGAGATATAGGTCATTTTCCTTATATAGGCCTAACACGTACTGTGTCCTGGTTTGTGTTCTGCACAGGTTCCCAAAAATGTCACATTGCTGTTTTGCCTGTTATGCGCATTCTTACACCTGTAGACATTACTTAATTTCTACCACACTAGAGAATTTTGTTTTTCCAAGGAATTCTACAATGAAGTCTTTGTAACAGAAATAATCTATTTATTACACATTATTCATCCATGATTTATCTTAAAATTTTCATTTTTCACATGTAATTTATCTAAAATAAAATTTGTTGCACAGATTAAAATACTGTAATATGCCTTCATGTATTTACTTTATTTTATTGATAATCTTTCTTTTGTTATCTACAGTTGGTCGTTTTGTGATAATCAGATGTATACACTGTTATCAGAATTTAGTTGAACAATAATAAAAACGATGTACAAATCTCCAGATGTATGCCAGGTGTACTCTTGGTTAGTTGAGTATTTAAAATTTGTAGTGTGCGCTTGGACCAAGCATAAACCTGGCTTTCCCTGTTTTTAGTATTTCTTAATCTTTTCCTGGAGTCATTTGATTCAGTTATCTCAAAACGGCTAAAGTCAAAGTAGAAGTGCATTGTTACATTCTGGAATAAGTAATGGTTTAAAAGAAATGAACTGCAAATTCTGTTGTCAGGGGGCAGTTGGGGCTTTGAAGAACTCACCTATAGTTTGCATCTTATTTAGACATTTTAGTCTATGCACATACGGTTTGACGTTTTGATGTTTTCATTTGCACTGGACTTTGTTGGACAGAGAGGCAGTGAGTTCCCTAGACTAATTATTTCATGTGTTTATTTAAACTAGAGTCTGGTAATAAAAGCACACCCGGAACCATGAGTGCTGAGGAAGCAACGAAAATTTTAGCAGAAAAGCGCCGGCTTGCTCGGGAAGAGAAAGGCAAAAAGGAAGAAGAGAGACTCCAGAAAGAAGTTGAAGAAAGGTCAGCCCAAAGCCTTTCTATCCTCTACATCTTGGCTAGGGCCCAAAACTTGAAATTTTACCCTCAGAGAACAATGGACTTTTTCTTCATTGTGGATCAGAAATCTTCCATTGCCTCCGAAACAGAGAAAGTGTAGGAAGCATTTCAGGGCTTCGCAACTGGCCGAGCGGAGAGGACATGGACGTCTGCGTAGTACACCATTTGCCGTGCAGGTGCACTTGCAGACGCACGCCGAGACCGAGCTCGTGTCCGAGTCCCAGCTCTCAGCAGTAGCGCCTGAGTGATCACAGGACTAGGCTGCTTGCCTTCACTAGTGTCAGCCCCCTTCTTTATGTTAAAGATTTGTAACTTTCAGATTTGGAAACTATACTGTTTTAACTTGAGTGCTTTCCATTGACTTTTGTGACACCTGAATCTCATCCAGCCACTGACTTGGTACTGGAAGGGCGTCCTGTGGGCAGTCAATCTTATGTGCAGTTATGGGTGTTTCAGCTTGAAAGAGAGGTTCTTATTTTTCCATCTTGAGGCCCATTTTATGTCGGGCCCTGTAATGGAAATCTCTGTCCACTGCTGCAGAGAATACCTATAGTTCTTGACTTCATTTTCAAGTATTAAGTGTCCATTGAAACACAGTCACATACTTGGCATATACTTTATATGGGCTTAGAGTAAGGAGGAGAAGGGGAATATTGAGATTAGCAAGAAATGGTAACTGGAAGAATATTCATTGCCTCATGTTAACAGAGCTAATTAAGCATTTGAAAGCACTGAACAATGGGACACCAGGACACCCTTGTCCAAATTAACCCATCATCCCCAGGTGAGATTGAGTGTGAGCAGGTCTAAGTAAGGCCTTGTGGGTAGGCTGTATCTCTTAAAACAGAGATTATTTCTCTCTTGCAGGTGTGCATAATATGTATGTGTTTTTAAGATGGAAAGTTGTCCAATAATTGATGGAAATCTTTTCCTACTCCCATTCTTTTTCACCTTGATTTAAAGGGGTTAAAATTATATAAATCCTGTGTAGCAACAACACAGAAAATGTTACGAATCTGGTATAAATGTAAGTTGTATTACTGTACCCAAGTAGTTTCACGTACTCTGCAAGCTGTATATGGTAATGACTAAAATAAGTACTAAGAGGTATTTATATGTACTCGGTGTTACTAGGAAAGTGGCAGATGTATCAAAGAAGATGAATGAAGCCCAAGTTGAAGAGTGCTCAAGATGTGAAGCTAGGCAACACGGAAAAGACATTGAAAAGAACAAAAATCATCAGCCTCAAGAATACCAGGGAATAATGGAACAGGTTTGCTGGCTTCCCACTGTAGCAACAGATAGGAGCAGTTGGAACTGAAAGCGGCAATCTTTTTGAGCACATAGATCACCTCCATCCATTCCCAGCAAAACCTTGGAATGTTTCCCAAGGGCAGCAAACAAACACAGAAATCAGCAGGTTATACATTACCACTCCTTTACTTTGGTTAAACAGCCCAGGTCAGTTTTCCGTGTCTCGCATTCTGTGATGCTATACACGGCACTCACAGCAGCACCTCACACCCTTCGGCGATTAAGAAAGTAAGAGATTGGGAATGGCTCTGAAAGTTTAAAATTACCAAATTCACCAAGAATATCTCGCCCTTCCAAATTCAAACTGCCAACTGAATAAAGTCCCAAACTGAGCTCAGACTACACTCATTTTGCAGTATTACAACAGACCAATTTATGTGCCCAGTGTTAGTGTGTCATACATCAAAACTGGTTATGTTTCATAAATGATTGTGTGCTCTGGCATTCCTTGGAAAGGAACTTCCATGAATTCTTTCAGTGCTTTTGAGAAACCTAAGACTTTGGTTCCTAAGACGTTTTTGTTGCTGTGTTAATGTATAACTCCATAGTCACTTACATACATTTACAGTAAAGTGGTCTGCTGTTAATGAGAACTTTGACATCCTAAGCCTTTGCCCTTGTTCTGTGCATGCTAACTAATGCTTTAAAAATGACAACCTATGACTGTTTTATATATATATATATATATATATATATACACACACACACACACATATATATATGTACATATATGTGTATACTAAATCAAAAGATTGCAACTGTTTAATTTTTTAAACTAGGATTCTCTGTTTTCTCAGCTACATTGAGATTAAATGACATTTTTTATATCAATTTTCTAGAAAGGGGATGCCAAAATAAAAGCTCACGAAGAAGCTGATAAACGCAAGAAGGAACACGAGAGAATTATGTTACAAAATCTGCAGGAAAGATTAGAAAGGAAAAAGGTATTTGTTTTCTCTTTTCTGGGTTTTGCTTATGTTAAATAATGTTGGGCATGTGATGACAGAATGTTTATGAAAATCGCAGATTAGATGTGTGTTAGTCCCTGGCTGTTTTCCCACTAGGCATACTCTCTTCTTCCTCATCTGAGCAGCTGACTTCTACATAGAAGGCTGTCCTGTTACTGAGCATACATAACCTCACTAGCCATTACAGCAGTGCCTCCGTAACAAATCCATCGGAGCAAAGCTCCCTTAAACAGGATGCCTCTAGCCATAGTAGAGGTTGGTGGAACTTACTTTCTTCTCAGCTGGGCTGGAATTTGCAGCAGCTGTGGTGCAAAGAAGTGTAGGCCTCTTTGAAAAGCCAACACACAGCCCATGGTAGGGCCACTTGTACAACTCACGTGGCTCATCTACCATTAAATCAAGTGTTAATTGAAGACTTGAAGTCAGGAGTGGCAACAGAAATGATGACAGTTAAGAATGATGGTCCACACAAAAGTGACCAAGAAATTGCAGACCACAAAATTCAGAAAATATTCCTTTCACATGAGGGCCTAAGTACATCCATTACCTCACACGACATTCTGCATTATGAAGATTCATATTAGACATAATCACATCCATCTGTTATCAGGTGCGTACGTTATTCATGTGTTGTCTGTACTCCAATCAGCCACTCAGCAGTAAGTCTCCAGTTCTGTTTACATAAGCATTCACCTCTCCTCCAAAGGCACCCGCTTGGATATTTAAAAATACTTAATTTATATTATCATATATTTTAAGTATTAATTTCAATAATATTTATATGCTGTTAATGTTATTTTATAATTCATATGTCCATTGTGTGTTGCAACAGACATACTAGATGCATCTGTCTGCCTGGCGATCTTAACTGGGTCTTATTTTGGGAGTAGGGCTTATATTACAGGCACCCTGAAAAACCACGCTAGGGCTTATTTTCCAGTTAGGTCTCATTTTTGGGAGAACACAGCTGGAGCCTGGTCTGGGCAGAGATGCTGCAAGGCCTCCCTGTCAATAGATCAGGTACCCTGAGGTGGCCAAGGAGCCATAGCTGGCCTCACCTTATGAAGAAGAGAGAATTCTTATCCCACCCTGGAATATATCCTTCCTCTGCTTCCTGTCTTCGCTTTTTAGTAGCAAATGACCCTATGGTATCATTTAGATATCTTACTTTCATTAAAATCAGCTTCCTGAATAATCTGTTAAGACTAAAATTCTGTTAGATGCTCTAATTGATTTGTAATAGTATGTGCTTAGTCTCAGGAAATGAATTTCCATGTCTGTGAAAATAAGAATGAGAAGTTGGCATTTGAGTGTCTGTGTTATGATAACAACTACAACTATCGCCATTCATGGCATTTTAGAGCTGAAACCAGGATGGGAAGAGGGAAGTCAGCTGCCACCCTAGGCGTTTTGTTGGCCTAATCTGTGGCTTTAGAGCAATTGTGGACATCGTTTGCCTCCGTGAGATGGAGAGATTAACTGCTTCAGGACCACTGGTTTTAATCTCTTCTATGTTTCAATTTTTATTTCCTTTAAATAGAGAATTGAGGAAATAATGAAGCGGACGAGGAAGACAGATGCAGATGCCTCCAAGGTAATCTCTACCCCTACCCACAGCACATGAGAATTCCTTGTGTTTCATGTTCTTGCCAACTTTTCACTTCTGCAAATCTGGTGGTAAAGAACCAGAGTATCACATTCACATTTCCATGATTATGAAAGAGACTGAGCGTGTTTTCATCCCTGGACAGCTTTCCTGTTTCCTCTTGTATCAAATGCTTATTTAGGTCTTTTTGCCCAAAACTTTTGGGCTGATTTGTAGTTCTCTGAATATTCGAAATTCTGCTTCTTTCTGGATTATTGATACAGATAGTTCCTCCCGATGTGTGGCTTGTCTTGTCTTACTGTCATCTTCTGCTGGATAGAAGCTCCTGATGTTAATACTGTTGAATTTTGTCAGTGTTTTCTGGTACAAAGCTGAGTGCTTTTTCATATACTTGCTATTCATTTAGAGATCCACTTGAGAAACATGGCTTTTCAAGTCATTGGAACATTTTCTTGTTTTATCCTTTTATTGATTGTAGGAATTTTTATCTGCTCCGGCCAGGAGCCCTTTGATACATGTATTTATATGTGTGTGTATGGAGGGGGTTCCTGGGGAATCAAACTTAGGGCCTCACGCTTGCCAGGCAAGTGCTGCGCTACGGAGCCATATCCCTGGTCCCTGATATGTGTATTGCAGGGATCTTCTCCCATGCTATACAAGAGCTGATCAAGTAATAAGGTGTATGTTTAAATTTTTAAAATTTATTACATTAACAGTTACCATTAATCTCCCTCAAAACACTCCCCCTTGCTTCAGATACACTTATCCCATCATTCTTGCCGCTTTCTGAAGCAGTTCAGGAAATCCTTTTTCATGAATGTCTTTAAGAGGTCTGACCAAAAATAAAGTGAGTGCTTCTGCCAAGCGCCATCCAGTGGAAAGGCAGGCTGGAAAAAACGGTGTGTCCTCATCCACCTTACTCACTAGATCGGGCGCCTTACCGCTTGAGGCTCCTCCCTAAAGTCAAAGTGACCGTGAAAGTAAATGTTCTGAATCAATTCAGGACATGGAGACAGCCACAACAGCACAACTAAAGGCACTCATGAAAGAGGGCAAAATAATAGGGTGAGTGTGTTTGAAGTGAGGGGGAGTATTTGGAAGGCGATTAATGGCAAAGTGTCTCACCGTAATAATTTTTTCACTGAAACATTCACTGTGTTTTGATCATGCTGCATGGTTTGCCTCTTTGTCTTGATGTCTTAACGAGTCAGTGGTCTTGATTTCATTGAACTCATGTTTATCTTTTTTTTTTCCTTCATGATGAATGCTTTTCGGGTCTTTTTCACTTTTTGGTTCCTCCAATATCTCATCTTTTGGAGGACAACATGCGTTTACCATCTTCACTATGGGGCCGTGATTGATCTGTTGTTTCACTGCCAGCTGGCTCTGATTTAATGAAATAAATAAATATGTTGACTATTCTAATAATTTTTAATTGGTATGAATAGTACTCATATTTATATTTGGACAGTAATTATTCAAATTCAAGCAACTAGATTTGGTCCACTTACAGACTTTGTAATAATTTTATTAGTAAAAAGACTGATAAAAGTGATAAGACCTATTTGTACCCCAGTGGTACGTGCTGCGTAACGAAACCACTAGTGGTTCTGGCTGGCAGGAACTAGTTAAGCCCTTTTTCTTCCAGTGTACTTTACATTCTGTACTACAGAACTGATAGTTTGCCCATTTACAGTTGCACATTTCTAGTCATTCATACCATTACATAGCATGAGAACATAGGCCGGGTAGGTCTGTTCTAGAAGTGCTGGGAGTCAGTTCATTGGCCCAAGAAATTTTACCTCAGGCAGCCAAGAACTTTTTAGCTCTTCATCAACTTGTCGGACCTTGGCTTAGTTGGGGCTCAGAGCAGGGAGAGGACAGATGGCAGTCCAAGGCTGTAGCCCCTGGACCCTCCCAGGGAGAGCCTTCATTTCTGAGGATCTTTCCCTAGCTGAAAGACAGCTAAAGGCCCCTCTTCCTGTCACCTGTAGATTCTTCAGGCCAGTTAAAGAGGTGATTTTTTTCCCTTGTAATTGAAAAGTTAGCCATCAGTCCAGTCTTGAAATCAGACTTCTTTAAAATTCTAAGCCAGGATGATTGAATATTAGTTATAATTATTATTTTCTTTTTCAACTGTAGGCTATAAAAACATCTGGCAATAACCCAACTGAAGAAGACGAGGCCGAGGAGGAGGAGGAGATAGAAAGTGATGAGGGCTCCCTTGATGACACATCTATATCAGGTTTGCTTGCTCCGCTGCTTCTGTTAGTCACCATTCAGGGCTGGACTGCCCAGGTTCATATCCAAGGCCTCTTTCACTTACGAGCTGTGTGGCTTTGGGCAGGTCACTTAACCTCTCTGCTCGGCAGGGAAAATTAATGTTGTCTTCGTCCTGAGCAGGCACGAGGTTTTAATGAGATAAATCTGAGTAGTAGTAAGCATAGTATCTGACATGTAGTAAACTCTGATAAATATTAGCTGCGACAGGTCATACTAATAGGCTTTAGGTGGTGGCTTTTCCTCAAGTGAATGTGAGGATTGCTGGTATTTCACAGCTCAGGGCCTCAGAAGGCATCCATGAATTGACTACATCCATAATTGACTCAGGGCCTCAGAAGGCAGAATTCCACTTTCTGTCTCCTTAAAAAAATTGAAATCGGGTCATGATGTGAGTGTCCTCCAAAATATATTGTTGACTTCCTGTGAGTAGGAAACACTTTAGAGTAGCAATAACTGGCACATGCACCCAGACTGAGCCTGCAAGTGGATAACGAGCAGGCGTGGAAGGTGTTGTATAGGGTGCTAAACACGGAGAGATGAAGAGCTATGGCCCCCCAGAGCCATGGCCGGTGGGAGGCAAACATGAGCGAACAGAGATGCTGCATTTGTGGCCGGGGCAAGAGAGGTTCAGTCTGCATGCCTGAGAACAGAGCGGCCGGACCCTGGGTCTGCCCTCGAGCACCGAGGAGTGCTGCAGACCGGAAGGAGCACTTGAAGTGAGACCGAGCTCAGGGAGAGCCGGCTCTGGGGCATCAGGGCCAGGGTGGAAGCAAGGAGCTGTCCTGCTCTCTGGGCCATCAGCTTTCCTAGTGAAGCTTCTTAAAGGTGGTCCCTTTGGCACTGAGGGTGGCGTGAGTGCGTGCACTAGGCAGCACCCTGGCTACCGCCAGGACACATGGAGCACCTTGGGGGTGGCAGCCTGGCTCCCCAGAGCGCCACCAGCCTTCTGTGTCCTACCTCAGGCACTCGCCCCCATCTTACCGGGATCATATCCTTGGCTTTTCTTGTATTCGTTGTTGAAACTCCAATTTTAATTGTTTCTTTTTCATCCTTAGGTATTAGAAATAATGGAGATCCATCTACCCAACTCACAGTGCCTTGTGAATATGCCACAGGAATGCCTCAAAAGCCGGTGCTTTCAGAAGCCGAAACTAGTGAAGTCAGTAAGGAACAGACCGCACACTTCAATGGCAGCGTGAAAACCTTCAGACAGGAGGACCCAGAAGTCCCTTCGAATCAAGCAAAAAGCTCAAAGTGAGTCACTTGGCACCTTATTTTCCTGAATAAACTTGGGGGTTGTGATTGACATTCTCAGAGCGCTAAGCAGGCCTGAGCTCTTAATGTGCACATTCCAAGCACTGTGGTCAAAAGAATCCCCAGTGGCCTGTTAGCTAAGGGCCATCACCCCCATGTTCTAGAGATGAGCACACTGAGGTATAAAGCAGCCAAGGGCCTTAGTTGCCCAGCATCCCATGCCTAAAGGGCAGAGTCCAAATTCACCTGACTCCAGACGACTTTTGTTCACGTGGTTAATGTTTCATAAAATCGGGGAAGGGGACATTTGTGGAGTGACTGCCATAAATCAGGCATCTTAAATTGATTTTTGTGTGGTCCTGGCCTCCATGCTCGTACATGTCCAGCCCTTTTTAATTTTTTAATTTTGAGATGGGATCTCACAATGTCACTAAGTTGTCCAGGCTGGGCTAAAATGTGATCCTCCTGCCTCAGCCTCCTAGAGTGCTGGGATTCAGGTGCACGCCACCACGCCTGGCTACGTTACCTATTTTATATCTCATCGCACCTCTGCGATACATCATCCTTTCACATATGTGGCAACAGCATCAGAGGTTCACTCAGGAGGACAGACACGGTTTCTTAGGAGGGAACACTGCTGAGGTGACTGCCTGAAAAGGCACTAAAGCCACAAGAGCCATGGGAATAGGAGCGTGCTGAGAATCTTGGTGCTAGTGCCATGGGGAAAGAGCGCCAGAGATGGAAATCCTGTCCCGGTTCTTGAACTACACCTCACTGGCCACTCTTGACCAACTCGAAGGAGGGGGCCAAGGTTCCTGGCACCCTGAATGTGTGGCTGCTCCTTGGCCCTGGTACTCCCCTGGCACCCTAGGGCTTTCTAGAATATGCCAGGTTCCGTGAGCTCCAGGGTCAAGCCTTCCCATTTCCTTCCCAGCATTAGGAAACTTAATTTATACCTGAGGCATCTCTTATAAGCCAATTAAAAGATAAAGTTTCTTTCAGGCAGGACCTTGGCATTGGCATAATCAGAGTTCTAATGAAAATGTCTTTCCAGACTACCTACCAAAAGAACATCCATCCACACAGAGAAGTACAGCAAAGGGATGGAAGCCGCCACCAGCACCCAGTCCACCCAGCATGTCACCACCAATCAGGACAGGATTTGTGACCAGGTTTTTGACTTTGCTCATCACAACATTGAGTCGCCTGCCACAGATGGCACTCCTAGTAGCTGCAACCTCAATCCGAGGGATTCCACGGCAGCTCACCAAAGCCCTCAGACACCTCCAGACTGTGAGAACAGAAGCAAACGTGTTTCTGCTCAGTCTGGTAAGGCCTCATGCCACCCTCGCTTTGCCTGTGTCTCCTGGAAGCCCTCTTCTGCTCCTGGCTTCCAGACGAAGACAGTTGCGAGTACAGGAATGATTTAGAAGAATCCGCCACTCACACATTTACGATAGGGCTGTATTTCATGTGTCTCACTGCCAGGAGGCTTGAACCACTAGTAGTGCTTGCATGGGTGGCTTTTTATTAATTTTCTTAGTAAAAACACTGATAAAGGTGATTTGATCTGTTCATACCACCGGTGGTATAAGCCACTCAATGGAACATTCGTGCCTGTTCCACTGATGGTTCAAACCAGCAGGAATGTGTTGTTACTTTTGAGAGTAGATGACTTGATTCTAGTTGTTATTTCTCACATTTCTTGCCAGATGTGAAAAAAATAAATTCCTTTCAAAATGCAGATTTTCCTGGACTCGTAACCCACCGGCTGCTTGGCGAGCGTTTAGACACTTCTTTAGGGCCAAGAGCTAGGGAGGTCTTTGAAATGAGTTCCTCAGCCTATGTTTCCAAAATCAAAGGGCATTGCTTTTTTTCCCTTGACAAGGTTTCTTTGGGGGAAAAAAAACACAAACTTTTGTTGTACTAATAAGGATTGAACCTAGGGTCTTTGCCCTGAACTGTATCCTCAGCCTCTTTTTTTTTCCGCTAAGTCGTCTAGACTGGGCCCAACTTGTGATCCTTCTGACTCAGCCTTCCAAAGTGCTAGGATTATGTTACTACACCTGGCCTCTCTTTGAAATTAAGTGATTTCTGAGCATCTTTCGGGGGTGGAGGAAATGGGGGACATTTATAAGAGCATCAGCGAGTCAGCAACCCAAGGGGCTCCTGAAGGTCTTAGGCCTGCCCCAAAGAGAGGCCGGGGTTGCTGTGAGACCCTCAGTGTCTTCACTAATTTTCTTTTCCTTTTCCTTCTGTTAGACATGTAAACTTCATGTGGTCTGCAGCACCAGCTCATCTTCCACTCTGGAAACTTCCCACGCCCCTTTCTCAAAATATTCCTGCTTCATGCTTGAATCCAGCGAAGGAAATGACAGTTAAAAAGAAAAAACAAGACGTCCAAAGGCCACCTTACCATCTATCTCAAAAGAGGCTCATATCATGTCATTTTCTTGTGAGTTCTCAGTAAAAAGACGGCTTTGTTTTTTTGAAAAATCCCCATTGTCTCCTGTGCTTTCCTGCCAATGTGTGTGCACCTACAACATTCTTATAAATGATAACGATCAAATTTTACAACAGTCCCGTTGAAAGGACAGTCGTGTTTTCAGTGTATTTTTGAAATCTTAGTGTTTCTTCTGCTTAGCAGTGATACCAGTATAAACAACTAGAAGCTCATTTTGGCCTTGTTAAGAACCCGATAGATTCTGTGAGGCTCAGGATTGCTCACAAGAGCTGTGTCCGATTGTTGCTAATCCATACAATGACACTTCACCCCGGTGTATGTCTCTGTTTCATTCTGCTGTCTTTAGTGGCTGGCATTTATACCCCCAGTGCATCTGTCACTGTCATCAATAGAGTTTTTCCTTTTGAAGGACATACTGGGATTTACCTACAAAAATGGGGATTTTTTTTGTTATGTACATAAAGTAGTGCTTAGCGGCGTTGAGTTCCCGAGTGTTGAATATGTATCACCTTTTTCTCGGGGTTCTCCTCAGTCCTGTTCTTCAGCGTACACTCAGGCTTAGGATATGTAACCAAAATGTGCTCACTCTTCTCTTGGCACTGTCTGCAAGTGAGGACGGGGCGGTGTTAGTCCTCAGCCCCCGTGAGAAGCGCACACTTGTACACACACATAAGTACACATGCACGGGCACACACACCAGATATGTGATTCCACAAAACTTGAATTCAGATTCCTTGTCCTAACACTAAGGAGTTTCACAGTGTTGAATCACAGAGTTTGAAGTAGACCAATTTTTCCTTTGGGCTACCAGTCTTGGATTTGTAAAAAGAGATAGCTATTCTTTCTAATCCTTCGTTTTTTGCTACTTTGAATACTGTACCTTTGTTATAGATTAGGGCAGGATGCCTTAAGTTTAAAAACTTTTTGTACACTAGCTTTCATATAGAAGGCAGAGACAATCACCCTAAAAAATGATGTTCTGATGTTTTTTTGCACCGATGGCACGTGTTGAAACACTGTTCCAGCTCTGTGTAAATGTGTGCTCTATGAAATAAACTTGGCAGATAAAACACATTTTGTTTCATTACGATGCTGAGAAATACACTGGTAGCAGTGTAAATGTGGGAGCACTTGCTGACTAACTCAGCACAAGCAGCCAGCACCCTCAGTAAAGAGTGAACAGACCCTGCTTTCACTCTTGCAGTCGGACGTCCGGAGGAGTTCTCCTTCAGGACAGCGAGGCACTGGTCCCACACTCCGGTCTGCTCCCTATCACTGTTCGGTGCTTGCTTTTGTTCCCCCGGGGGCTCTCACTAACCGAGGTCTATTGTAAAAGTATCTTTTTATTGTGGTAAAATTCATAGAGCAGTCACCACCTTTTTCCTTTCCTTTTTTTTTTTCTTTTACCTTCCCCTCCCCTCTTCTTATCTCTGAGATGGGGTCTGGCTGTGTTGCCCAGGCTGGCCTTGAACTCCTGAGCTCAAGCCATCCTCCTGCCTCAGCCTTACACATAACGGGGCCTACAGGTATGTGCCACCACACATCACTAAAAGTCACCATTTTAACCAAAGAATAATACATGCACAGGTTGTACAGTCATCTCCACTGTCGAGTTTCAGAACATTTTCTGAAGAGAAACCCACCCCCTCCCAGCCCTTTTAAACCTTGAATGTGGCACGTGCCTTACATGAAGAAAACCCACTTGTCTCATTTTTTGTCTCATTTTTTGTCTCATTTTTTAAGGTCTGTCTGCATCTGGGCAGTTTATGCACTCATTTTTACTCCCAGTACTGATGATTGCGCCCAAGGGTGCTCTACCATTGAGCTATATCCCCAGTCCTTATATTTTTATTTGGAGACAGGGTCTCACTGTTTTCCAGGCTGCCCTTGAAGTTGCGATCTCCCTGCCTCAGCCTGCCGCAGCTGGGATTGCAGGCAGCCAGCGCGTGCCCAGCTCTGTGCTCCTTTACGTACACATTTCTTCATGACATTACTGTGGCTGAAGGGCAAAGCAAACCTGATGGCCTGTAAATGCTTCATTGCCAATCATAAAACACGCTGTATCCCCCGGGCTTTAGTTTTTAGAAGACCAGAAGCGCATTTATCTCTAATCTTCGGGGTCTGTTCCCCGCAGAGCATTCTGTGCATTCGAATCAGCATAAGCTGGACACCCCCCGTCCCTGCCAGAGGCCCCACCTCACAGACTTCACCTGCGCTCAGAGCGCTTGACTGCCAAGTTCGCCAGCACGTGCCTTGGTCCACCTCCTGACTGGGGTTTCTGCCGCAACTCCAAGGCACAGCTGGAGTCCCTAGCCTTCTTGCCCCTCACCTGACACTGGTCTCCTCACGTTTCCCTTCCTCTCGGGATAGGCTTTTGGTGTCCTCCCTGAAGGACAGATCCATGGCCACTACTAGGAGATTCTGAGGGGCAGCACGTTTCCTCCCCCTGTGGCACTAACGACACCGCATGTGACAGCTGCAATGACCAGAAATCCTGCTCCCTGGGACCCTGAAGACCTGAATCCTAGCGAGAGGGCTGCCAGCTGGGTCTGTGGCTCCGTGCATGCCGCGTCCCCTCTGAGCCTTGCTCCTCATCTGTCAAATGAGGCGACTCTACTGCAGGCCCTGTCACCCCTGCACCCCTTTCACCCCCTCCCAGGCGCCCTCACTGGCCAGAAGGAGAGCAGCAGGAGACACCTGGCCCCTTCTGTCTGAGCAGGGCTCAGTCCCTGTGCACTGCCAGGTTGGGTGCAATAGGCTCCAGCTCTCACCCCAGCAGTCCCTGAACTCGGCCGGCACCGGCTGAGTCACGGTGATGTAGTCTGGGCCGCACGTGTGACATGCCGGCTTCCTCAGAAGCACCACCGCGGGGATGGGAGTTCACTTTCATTTGCGAGATCCCTGCTATGGAAATGGGCATTTGTTCCGGTCACACAGCTAGAAAGAGGCAAAGTCGGTGCTGGAACCCAGCTGTGTCCCACCCCTGCCCTACTTTGGGAGCCACACATCCTGTGGTTTGTAGGGTAGGTCAGGCACCAGGACAGCGCCTTTGGAGCTGAGGACAAAGTCCTTGCCAGTGTTGATTGAGCACTTAAGATCTCACGTTGGGTAACTTGCCCGAGCTCTCATTCCTAGAGAATGGCAGAGTGGCCAGGATTCAAATCTAGGTAGTACGGCTCCAGACCACTGCCGGGTTAGCCACAGGTTGCTATGTTCCTGAGGTTCTGATCTCCTTTGAGGGGGAAAATGCTTCTCTGCTGGTGATCATTCCTCCTGACCCTTACGGTTGTCACTCTTTCCACAAAGACAAGTGCCTTCTAAAGTCCTGAGTACCATGCAGAACAACTTTCCTCAGTGAAATGCAAGAGGTGTGCCCAGGGTGAAGCTTGTCACTCACTAGCTGTGAGAACTCAGGCACACTTCTTAACCCCTCTGAACTTCCACTTCTCACCTGGAAGAATGGGGCCGGCCCTCGTAGCTGGCTGTGAGGATTAAACCCAGTGTGTCCAGGGGTTTCCTTCTGAAGATGCTAAAGTGTTAAGAGGCATCGGATGGCAAAGGATAGCTAGAGGCATAGCTGCCGGGCCTGTTTCCTCGGCAGGGAGAGGCGGGGGCTACCTGCTGGGAACATGGAGTAGGTGGTGGAGTGGCGCTCCCGGGAATGTTAGGCAGTGGCTTTTCCTCAGCAGAGCTCAGGCCACAGGCTCAGGCTTAGGGGTGCCAAGACTGAGGTGGGAAGAGTGGCTGAGGCACAGGGCAGATGGAGGGAAGGCCGGGTGTGACAGGGCTGTGAGGTCCAGGGCGGAGGAAAAGCCAGCGCCGCGGAGAGTCGGAGCTCCCCGAGAGAAGGTGCGGAGACTACAGGAGGCCGTCTGGGCACGGAAGAGGCCAGAGCTGACCCAGGCGAGCAGCGCAGATGAGAGCTGGGGTGCGGCACAGGCTCTTCTGGAAGAGCAGAAGCCGGGTGCCAAGCCCTCGGGGAGGGCCACCCCTTCTGGGATCCTTTCCTAGCTGTTCCCTGGGCAAGCGGGGCCAGCCGCTCTCAAGAGCGCGACCAGCCTGCTTCCCACGCAGCCCAGTACACTGCACAGACCCGTCACTGGTGGGAAGGTTGTGACAGGTCATTGCTGTAGAGGCACACACACAAGGGGCTGCCCTGTGCTCCTACAACTGCTCATGGTCATGCAGGGACCTGGTTTCAATCCCAGGGGGTAGGGGGGACCTCCAAACAACAAAGGCTCGTAGCTCAGTTCCTCACTGACAGCTTCAACTCCTTTCTAAGAGGGTAAATGTTAGCCCACAAGGGCTATGCCTGGCCGAGGGGGCCCAGTGAAACCTAATCTGCTCCCTTGCCTGAGCCTTTAGCTGAGGTGTTTTGATGAGGTGCCTTACAGCACGCGGCTCCTTCAGCAAGCAGGTGAGCTCTGCCACCATCGCTTGCCCTGGGCCTCCTGGGCCTCCTATGCCACCTGGAAGTAACAAGTGGGGGTGGGGTGGGTGTCCCGAGAGCGAGAGCCTCAGGTGAGCTAATGCCCTGGCTGCGTCAGGATCTAGAAGCTCCCTCTGCCCACACCTCCCCGCCCACCGCCCAACTGGAGACGTGAGCCCGGAGCACGAGCGGCAGCGAGGGTCCACTAGGGCACAGGTACAGGCGGCCATGGCTGAGGGTACAGTAGTGCTCGACATGAATGCAGAGAGCCCAGCAGGAAAGAACTACGAGGAGGCACAAAGCAAACAGGGCTTCTCAGCCCTGTGCCTCATTTGGATTCCTACCCTAACCCCACCATCCTGGCCAAATAAAACCAATTTGTATTTTTTAAGGGATGTGCAAATCTGGGCAATGCCATCTTGGGTCAGAGTGAACTCCCAGTTTTTCCTCGACCTAGATCAGCGCTGTTACAGGCCTGTCTTCTGTATAGGCCCTATCCTCCGTGCAACTGCACGGAACTGAGTATAGCCTTGAGTCAGGGGAGAAGAGCACTCAGGTTTCGGGGTTCGCAGTATCACCTTAAGGGTTTATTCTGGGCAGAATAAAAGACAAGAGGCAAGTTATTTCTATGCTGCTTTATTTCTGTACGGATACACTGAAACATTCGATAATAAGAGCTAATGACAAAAGGTAGAAATGAGGCATCGGCTTCTACAACCACTCCTACGAGAACATGGATATGTACTGTCATTACATGTGTACTTTGGATACTGTCTTGTGATACTATGCGATATAACAATGGAGAATACAGTAAGTAGGTGTTCCTGCATCTCAGGGAAGCAGGCGGTGGAGGTTCGGTTCTGCCTGTGAGGACGGGGGCCTCCCCACTTCCCCAGAGAGCCAGCTAAGCTCCTGAGAAGTCCTAGGAATCACAACAGAAGGGACTCTGCAGCCCTCTCGAACACACAGACGAGGAGCAGACAACTACTATGTTACAAGGGATTCAACGCATCACGGTTTCAAAATGTCAGCTCCACATTAATGACAGCCCTGGCACCTGCTCAGCTACCCCTCTAGAGTTTTACAGACACTTCTGAAGGATGAATCTCAAAACTGCAGGACTGTCTGAGGGGCCCACATATTGTCATGCAAGTTTCCAAACCCATAAACTATTTTACTATTAATTAAAACAAAAATATCATTAATTAAAAAAATAGAAAAGATAGCAGGGTTAGTTTTGTTAAGCTTCCAGAAGTATTCGCTGTGATGCTGCTGCTCTGAAGGACGCTCGTTTTCTCAGATCTGCTCGCACACTCCCTCGCTGCGAAGCAGGAACGCTCAGAACACATGCCACACAGGGGAAGCGAATACCAGTGTGGGAAGATGGTCAATTGAAAATTACAGCTAAGTCCAAATGTTAATTTTCTGGAAATTCTTGTTAGTCATGTAAAAGCACAAAAGAACAGAAGGAGGGTCAGAGTTTTAACTAGGAAACTAAACCATGCATTCTGACAAGTTCTTTTTCTGCCCACCCAAGAGGGTGAGCAGTGAGTTGGAGCAGCCGCTACAACTCTTGCATGTCTTCTGACTACATGGTGGGTCCCAGCTGAGCCGCAAAAGGCATCTCAGTGGGGGCTTTGTCGCTTATGCTTCTTGCTTACATCACGAAGTGGCTACATGGTCAGCACTTTTCTGCTCTATGATAAACATGCAGAAGAGTCAATCTATCTAAATTTTCGTTTCTTCATTGCAGCTATAGAGAAATTAACTTTGCTGCAACTTTGCTTTTGGCTAAATACGAATATGATCACTGCGTGCCCTTATTTGAGTAATACTGTAAAATGGGAGAAGAGACAAGGAACAACTTTAAGAGGTGAAAGACCACTCTTGTCCTATTGATGGTGTAGGGCAGAGAGAGCAAGGACACAAAGAACATGATGCCAACTCCATTTTACAGGACAGGAGCCCCTGTCGGTTTACAGCTTTTTGGCACAGTCAGGGCAATACACCTGCTCCTGGTGATAAACAAAGCGCTTGTTGGCCAGATTCACGGAGCATTTTTTGCAGTGGAAGCAGTAGTCGTGCCAGGATTGTCCTTCATAGGCCACCACACTGGAGCCTTTACCAAACCCTGTGGAGAAACAAAAGAAAACAAGAGAGACAGTTGAATGAATCCAGGTGAGGAAGCTGCAATTCAGAGATAAAATGACGACTTGCCCCATTCAGAGCCAGCAAGTGCACAGAGCCGATGTCTGCCTGGCTCCCAGTCCCCCTCCACCACGCACTGTCCCCCATGCTGCCACTGTGCCCCATGCTGCCACACGCCCGCCACGGCTCTCAAGGACCTGAGAGGATGCCGGAGCGCAGCAAGGGCTTCTCTAAGTTAAGGACCCCGCATTCCCACACCACCGCTATCACCCTGTGCCGCACAGACCTCCCACCATAACCAGTTTCTTTGATTTAGGTCAAGGCCACGGCATCAAAGTGGCCACCAGGAGGCAAACTTGGGCTGTTCGTGAGGTCTGCACTTACCGGGCCTCGAGGAGCTGCTAAGCTTCGATTTTTTCTATAAAGAACCACCACCCATGAGGGACAAGTCCTTTCTCCACCCGGATGCCTGCCCCGGAGGCTGGCGCTGGGAAACAGGGTGAGAGGCAAGCGTTTCCCGCGGCACACTGGGGGCTTCCTAGCTTTAGAGACTGGGTGGCTCACTCTTGACACAGTCCTTTTCCCTGAGGATGGCAAAAGTCTTCTCAAATGTACATTTCAAGGCTCCCCGGGGAAATGGGAAAGTTGGAGGCAGGGGAAAGGGCCCAGGGCACGTGGATCGCGGCCGCGAGATGAGGAATGAAGTGATTAGCTTTGCTTCTGATCGCAAAAAAATAAAAATAAAAAACAAAACCGAAACACCCCCTGCCAGCTGGCACCTCCACACTAGCATTCAGCTATGGGTTGTTAAAACACCAGGTTATCACGCTCCAGCCTCCCCGGCCCGCCCGGCCCCGCCTCTCCCCCACCCTCCTCCCTTCTCCAAGCCCCTCCCCACCCCTCAGTCCCCCCAGTCCCTCTTCGCAGTGCCTGCCTGTGGCCCAAGGGTCTCAGGCTCGTGAACTCCTGGCATTGTTAGTCAGCAGTAGTCATGAAGTGTTCTGTATTGCAAAAGCTAGTCTGGCCTGCAGGAGAATCGGAACTACTGGGGGCCTTTAGAACCGTACTGGTGGGGACGGAAGGGCACTCTCTGAGGGCCTTTGTGGATGAAACCGACGACACAGGAAAATGAGAGATGGTTATCATGCGCAAAACCTAGCCTGGCAGACTTAGCAAGGACTCTTTAAGCCTACCAGTGATGGGGTTCTTGCATCCAGCACACTTCTTGGCCACAAAGTTCTTGTAGCAATCCACGCAGTAATACTGGTCCTCCACAGCGGTGAAACGCTGCCCAGCCAGCTTCTTAGAGCAGGTAACACACACAAAGCAATCGGCATGCCAGGGCTGATCCTGGTAAGTGATTCCTCCAGATGTGATGGCCTAGACCAGGGAGTGTAGCACCGGATTCAGATTCAACAACCATTTTGTTGAATGCCTACCACGTGCCAGGCACTGTGCTGGGCGCTTTGGTTTACAGTATCTCATTTAATCTCCACCACAGCCATGGGAGGCAGGTGCCATTATTATCCCCAATTTACAGATGAAGACACAAGGGCCTGGGGAAGGTGAACCCTTTGGCAAGGTGACGCAGCAACTGAGCGGCGGAGGCTGGCCGCAAGAGGCAGGGCTGCCCTTGCCACCACCACCAGACAGCCTGCCCTCTCATCCCATGTCTCCTCATCCGTAAAATAGGCATAATAATTCCTACGTCACAGGGCTGTCGTGAGGATGGAATGGGATAGTGTGTGTGCAAGTGCTCTGCAAACTGTCACACGTCTAGAAACAGCAGTCAACACACAACTTCCTTGCCAAAGTACCTTGTTGCACTTGACGCAGTGCTTGGCAAACTTGGTCTCGTGGCAAGTCACGCAGTAGAAGTCCTCCCCTTTCGGGAAGAAGCTTCCGGTCCCGATGACTTGCTTGCAGTTGCTGCAGGTGAAGCAGTCTTTATGCCAGACAGTGCCCTTGTACTCCACGTTCTGGTCTCCTGCAGGGGAAAGCAGGCTGATAGCCCCACTGACAGGCTCTGCAGGGGGCTGCATCCACTCAGCCCCTCCCCTGGGCCCTCCAGAGGTGAGGGATGCAGGCCCTGCAGTCACTGGCCTCACGCCCCCAGCTAACCCCAACCCCGTGCTCCTCGCGGTGATGTTCACCCGGGGCTCTGTGGCGGGCGGGGCCCCGGCAGTATGATCTCCTATGAGAGGCTGAACCCCCACTCCCCCGCCTCTACCCGCTGCCTGACCCCTGACCCCAAATTATACCAAGGGGGAAGCATGCCTCGATCACGTACTACCCCCGAAGGAGAAAGCGCTACATACTGTTCACTTCATTCTCTTGCCACAGGCTGTTTTCGCCAGTGTTCTTTAGTCGCCAATGTGTGCGTGTGTGCGAGCATATATGTGTACGATATATACGTGTATGTATATGTGTACATATATATGCTAAAGTCTCGCAGCAGCTCACAGCAACGTTAGCCCCGCAGTGACAAGCAAGCCCACATCACGTCTGCCCTCGGGGCTCCTCCCTGGCAGCCTGGGGTGGGAGGGGGACAGTACCTGCCACAATGGCCTTGAAGCACCCTTTGCACTTGGGGGAGTCCTCCCGAGTGGCACACTTGTTGCACAGTATCTTGTTGTCCTTGGACACAAAGGTCTCGCTGGCCAAGGGGTGAAGGCACTTGGCACAGCGGAAGCAGGTGTCGTGCCAGTAGCGGTTCTTGTAGTGCACCTCCTAGGAAGCGAGCAGAGCAGGCGGCCCCTGTGAGGGGCACCGAGGCAGGGGCAGCCGGCTTCCCCGGCTCACTACGGAGCGACACACCGGCTCGCGCCTAAGGCACCCTGAGGTGAGTGTTCTTCAGAGTAGTAAGAGGGACACTGAACGAGGATGAAAGCGCACAATTCCCAGGACACTTAAGCGCGCAGGCTGAGCATCTCTAATCCCCAAAGGCTCCAAAATCTGAAACTTTCTCAGTGGCGGCATGGGTGCCACAAGTGGAAAGTTCCACACCTGACCTCACGTGTTGGGTTGCAGCCAAAACCCAGGCACACCAAAACACAGTTCTTTCAGTGTCCCCAAGGGGAAGAAAAGACCCTCCCGGCCGCTTCAGCTGTGATGCACAAACTTCGTCTCAGGTACACAATTAAAATGTTGCTTAAAATGACCTTTCGCTTATGTAGGTAAGGTATACATGAAACACAAATGAGTTTCCTGTGTAGTCCTGCGTCTTATCCCCAAGAGGTCTCATTATATATATGCAAATTATTCCAATTTTTTTTTTAAATCCAGAATCTGAAGCACTTCTGCTCCCAAGCATTTCGCATATGGGAATTCAAACCGTACAACCAAAAGAGCTGACAAATGCCTCAGGGTCAGTCTAATCCAAGGCCCATATTAAACAGGGACGGGGACACCAGGAATGTCCTCGGGGAGCAGAGACTGCCTCAAGGCCTCAAGGTGGCTGCTGTGAGGAGCAGAACTCCAAAAGGTGCCCGTTGCTGTCAAGGCAGCAGGAAAACTACAGCCCAGAGCCCAGCCCGCACTGCTCACACATGGGGATGCCCAGTACCTTGGAGTCTGCGCCAATGGGCTTGCGGCACTCCACACAGGTGTTGGCACAGAACTTGTCAAAGCACTTCAGGCAGCAGTGGTGGCCATCCTTCTGCACATACTTCTTCCCCTGCAAAGGGTCCCTGCAGTAGTGGCAGTCGAATTTCTCAGCCATGGTGCCCACCTTATAGCTGGAGGGACCTACAGGGGCAAGCAGGGAGAACAAATGACCAATGGGGGTGCCAGGGCACTCTGCCACAGCAGGTCCTGGAGGCGCCTGCTGCATGTGGCCAAGGAGACACTTCCAGTCGGCTGGCTCTGAGCACCAGGGCCCAGCTAGCACTCGACCCTGGCCGGCCGCCAGCCCCCAAGGCAACCAATACTTCCCTTCGACTCCCGGAAGACACTGCCTCTGAGCCGAACTTCTCAAAGGCCAGAGGCCAAGGGTCGGTGCCTTTCTGCCTGGATGTACCACTGCGCTGACTCACAAAGGACACTGGGAGGAGGACAAGGGAACCAGAGCTCGCACTGGCCGGTCACCACACAGATTATGGGAAGGAGGTGATTGTGAGCAGTGACCTGACGGAACAGAGGGCTGGGACGGTGCAGTCAAGAAAGAGGAAACTGCTTCACACGAATGAAGACCTGGGTACCAGGCAGGCTTCTCATAGGAACGAGGCGGCGGGACCTCCACTCCGAGGGCTGCCTGCCGCACGCAAGCCGGGAGCCTCCTTGCCAGCTTTTGCCCCTTTCTCGCTCACTGTTGCAGGGGAAAGAGCACTCTCCGGAGGCACCACTTTCCTCCTTCCTATACACTCCCAGGCATCTGAACGAAACCTTAACAGCTGGCTCTACCCCCCAGCAGACACACAAACGATCCTCACTCATTAAAAATGCTTAAATGTACTTATAATCAGGCAGAAACAATTTTAGTCCCTGCTGGGATCCCAAACAGTTCTGTTCCAGATACTGTACTGACTTTTGAGGCCTGAGCAGTAGAGCCGAGAAGCATTTCTCTAAACAGCCTTGACTGGCACCAGCACATTTTGAAAATGTACTATTTGCCACAGTGACGCTTAGTTCTGTGACTTATCAAAATCAAACCCTCAGGTCAAGGGAGGGAGGATCAGTTATATTCACTTTGGGACATTTGCTGTTTGAAACACTGCAAGTATAAAGTACACTCTGGAAAAAATGACTCTGACAAAGAGTTAAGCTGAGAATCCCCCAATTCCCTGCCTGTCTGCAACCCAGTCACTTCCTGACCCAAGACTGCCAAGGCCCTCCGAGGCCCTTTTGCTAAGTCATCGTCCACACAGCCTTGCCACCAATAAACGCATCAAATGTGAGCTTCCACTAGCTCTCAACCTCTTTCCATGCTAATTCTACATGTTAATTTTTCTCCTCTCTCTAAAAAAGAAAATTTACGAAAGTAGGTAGCAGTTATTTAATCTGTGAAGGAAACACAAGAGCTGAGAGTATTTAATGCAAGCCATCCACACACACGCTTATCAAACACCCAGAGCGAGTGTCATCTCAGAGAAAGGATGAAGGAAAATAATGAGCAGTTAGTTGCCTGCTACTCACCCTCACCGCAGCTCTTCCGCCAACCGAACAGCCCAGACTCCTGCTTTGGGTTCCATTCCCAGGTTTTTTATACAAGCACATGTCCAAGCTGTTTGGACCCTGTTGCCCAAGCAACCAAATAGCAGAGAGTGAGCTAAGGAAACCACACCCTGCCTGTGGGAACCCGCCTGCGCCAAGGCTGTAACTCTCACTCAAACCCGCAGCAGTCTCTGCAGCCAGCCTCCAAACAGGTGAAACGAGGCCCCAGAACGCACGCTAGCTGCTGCCCGCGCACTGACACACACAGACCCCTCATCTCCAGAGGGCTGGCGTGCGAAGGAAAGGAGCGGCATTCTTGACAAGCACAGTTGCTGGGGACAGTTGTGTCACCGTCAGGAGACCGAGGAAGACCAGAGGATAGTTCTGACTTCACTTTTCCCTAAAAAGAACACTGGGATGTGCTCTTACGTGACACGGTTAGAAACCAAATGTACACAATGAACCCAGGGCCAACGTCCCTGGAACTATGTGCCGTTTATGTGAAGCAGCTGTTCAACTGCCCATGGCCTCCATGCCAGGGACAAAAGTATCTGTCACCATGACACTGTAGGGAAAACCACTCTCCTCTGCTCTTTCCTAGGTTATGTAAGATCCTTGTCTTTCCTTTGCCATATTGAAATTGTGCCCTCTACAGTGATTTGCTTTTTTGTTAAGAACTCAGTTAAGAAACCAAATAAATCTCCAGTAAAAATAAATGCAGGAAATTAAATTATCAGTGGCTCCAAAATGCCATTTGGCAGGAAAACAGAATTTATAAGATTAAACAGCACTGGCTTTCTGTGTGGCTAGTAACCATGACTGGATTAGCCCCTCTGAGACTATCTTCTTGGACCATATTTGAGTATCCCTCTCTCCCCCACACTGACATCTCTATTTAGAACACAACTTTGAGCCTTCCCACTTTATACTATCACTCTCTTTGATGCCTACCAAGGCAAAAAATGGATTCCAAATATTTCCGAATTCAACTATTAGAGTCCCACCTAAGGGGAATCCCACCTTTTGATGCTTCTGAATCTTAGCTTTATGGTTAAAATACAGGTATGAGTGTCATACACAAGAAAAAGTAATTCCAGAAAACACAATGAATTCCATTTAGAGCTATCTAGAAATTTTGAAGAAAAGGAAAACTCTACCCTGGGTCTCATACTAAAGAGATCTTCTCTACCACACCTTTCTGACTTTTAATGCACAAACTTTCAGAACTGTTAGCTTGCTTTTTTAGTTCTAGAACATGACTCGCTCAGTGTCTAGGCATCCAGATGATAAAATAGTCCAAGGTCCACCAGTGAACATAGACAAATCAAAGTGTATAGAAAATACCAGTCAACGAAGCCACATACTACTGTATTGTTCCTGTAATACAGTGTCTAAGCAAAAGGAACATTAACAATCCCAAGTTAATGGTAAAGAGGGGTTCTTGGTATTTTGAGTCTTAGCTTTAAGACTGTTCTCCCAGTCTGTGAAAGGCAGGGTCTCTTTATATTCCTCACCTCTGTCTACTTAAACCCAGACTCTATCCAGATGGAGAAACAGATTTTAAAGGCATATTTTAGAACTGATTTCGACAGTTGACTTAAATCATTTTTATGTATGTGGAAACACTTATTAATCCAGATAAAATATGCTCTTCTAGAAATGTTGGCTTTATTGCCTAATAAGTTAACAGGCTAGAAATACTTCAAGTATGTTAACAATGTCTATGTCAAAGTCATGAACTTTAGTACTTTTTTTTTGCAAGAAATCTAATTTAATAGAACTTTGGGCAACCTGAATTAGCTCACCTATTTTTCTAAATTGATTATTTTGGTACAAAACCTTTTTAAACCCTCATGCCACATGTTTTGGAAGTTAGAGCAATATATTCCTACTTATGAGATATCATATCAAAACTGCATAAAATATGAACAATTTGTATAAAATATTTTGCTAGTATTTATCTTCAGGGAAATAACACTAAGAACCTAGATGATAAATAACAATGTTGACACAGAGTTTTGTAAAGGACAGCAAATATCCCAAGTGGCTGGCACCCAAGAGAATGAGCCACAGTTCAGCTTTGGCTTCATGGGGCTAGAAAAGCTTGCATTTCATCTCTCTCTTGCTTTTTGTTAGAAGTGATCAAAGAAGAGAAAAAATGCAAATGGCATTTAACCCCTTTTGGGGGGCTTTCTTTACTCTTACTGAATCACATTCATAAGCATTAACTGTTAAGTAACACTTTTATATCCCCTTCACAATGGCTAAGTACATGAAATATGAAGCCTTTTAACTTTTCAAACTTATTTGCCTTGACTTACTGCCGTTATCCTGGACAAGCTATGTCACCCATCATCAAGTGAAGCATTTGCTACATACAACAACTGCATGCCACTCCCCTTATCACCTGTTTTTGTGGAGGACATGTTTGCCCTAGGGTAGGCTCTCTGACTTATTTTAACATCTTGGTGTGGCCCTAGTAGTGAGAATTTTCTATCACACAAAATCCCGGTATCTACTCCAGGATCTTGTATAAAGGAGTGACTAAGTCCATCTTGCTGACGGATGGAGGTAAGTCACCACCGTTTCCAAAACTGTAGTGTGGATGGTCCCGTGGAATGGACTGTGATCCAACGATCAGAGCTTCTATCTTATCCTTACAAAGCCCACTTCGGGGCAACACTGATTTTCCTTCTGTGAGGTCTTCTCTCTTGTTCATGGACCTGTTCTTCTCTGCTTTCATGAACCAGTGACCTACTACAAAACAACGTTATTTTCTGGTTTTAAAAATCAATTCCTGTGATCCTAAGTTACCAAATTCTAACCTATACCTTACAGTTACCTGAGTTGTCCCGTGATTCTTTAAGACAGAACTCTTTCATATAGATGTAGCTAATAAAAGGCGTTCTAAAGTGCATTAGAATGCAGTTAGAATTGTGGCTAGTTGATCACATTTTAGGTATCTATTCTAAGATGGTACTGTGGCTCTCTTTCTATGCCTGCTTCAAAAGAAACATTTTTTATTTAACAATCTTCCTCTTTTGGAAGAAAACTTCCTGATCTACATCCACCAGGCTAAGAGGTCCTTACTGAAACCTCAGTATCTCAATAAAAAGTTTTGGCTCTCAATTTAATCATGTACACACACAAGTAATACAACATTGCAAAAGCTGTTTTCTACTCTAAATCTTTCATTAGAAAAGATTCCATTTGCATTTAAGAAGTCTTGCTTGTATTTTTATGTGTATTTTGTCACGTGTTTCTTGGTAACATTCCTTTTTCTTTCTTCATGCCCAAATGGCTCAAAATAAGAATATTTAAGGAGAAAGTGAATGTTCTGCTGAGACAGCACTCTTCTAACCATGCGCCTTCCCTGAGTACTATAAGGAACGGCATAAACAATGAACAGCAACCCAAATGAAAAGAAAACTCCAAGTATTTCTAGTCTATTAATTGCTAAGTCTAAGATACCAGTACAATATTGACCCTATGTATAAATGCTGTCTTCCAAGGAGAGGGTATGTTGCTTTCCGGAGATCATTTAACAAATGCAAGGAAGCACTGGCTATGAATAAGACATTTGTGTTACAGACACGCTAATGTACCTGGAGGTGTCAGCAGACATTTGGGAATAAACACCTAAATAGCTGCAATGAGACGGAGCTCATGAGTCACGGCTAAAATGCAGTCTTTCATAGAATTTCATAGAAAAATCAGCAAATGTTTCCTGCCCTTAAAATCTGATGTGTACAGAATGATTCAGTGTTATTAAGAACTTCACTGGAACGGTGCACCTAGAAAAAACATAGATCCCTTTCGATCACCCATGTACAGATAATACTATTTTAGATTATGTCTGGTATCAAAGATTATTAAATGAAAAATTGTGTGCCCCTAAAATTCCACCAGGGCAGATTCTGTCCTAGTACCATACTGTCCACATACGAGGCTTTTCTTTATGTCCTACATACCACGTGCGGCACGTCCTTTCACACTGGAAAGGCACTTGGGACCTGCCAGCAACGGAACATGTGTTCCTGGTTTCTCCAGTGTGGTGAAGTAGCAGGCAGTCATTGGGTTGTTATTAAAATAATAAAACACTCAGTTTTACTCCCAAGGAAATCTGCAGATTATCATTTTGCAGTTATTTTAAGAAATCAACCCAGTTTGATTATGCCCCTCTCAAGCCATCCTCTCATGTTCCATCCCTGACCTGAGATGGGCCGGTCAGGCATGTGTAGCCTACTGGACAGCAGCTAGGGAAAGGACTCAATGGCAGTGTAACATGGCAAATAGTCTCATTTCCCTCTACAACCTCACCTTGGCCTGTGACTCGAACAGCCAAGAGATACAGAAACTGAATTTATCTACTTTCGCAGAAAAAGTGTTCAATGTCAAAATTATATTTTTGTCCTTGAAAGGCCCTGTAAGTGTGGACAGTCACTCAAAATGGATTCTCATCCAATGATCTGAAGTTCTATTTCATCCATCCTATATTCACTTCAGGGCAACACTGATTTTCCCTGTGAGAACCTCTCCTTCTTTCATGGGCCTAGATATTATTCTCTACTTTTATAAACCAGTGAACCTGATGCAATACAAAATGCTGCTTCTCAATTTTAAAAATCACTTATAAGATGTAAATAATTGTTTTAATTTAATCACAGTTATAGCCCTCATATTCGAAGAAGCAAGAATAATGTAAAGATCTGATGTGATTTAGAACTTGAGGTTGGGTACCCCATAGGTATTTCAAACATACTGTCTTATGTATGTCATAAATATTTTTAAACACACTGTCTTATGTGTCAATTACTAAACAGGGTGCAGGGTTACTCTACCAGTTAATATGCATTCAAGGTTCGTTACGACCAACTACACAACTGACCAGTTTGCCTACACCCAGACAATGTGTGTGTGTGTGTGTCGGCCAATAAGCACAATCTCAGGCATAGGGTAGCACCTTTGTAAAGCAGTTCTTTGTGGCTGGGAAAAAAATCAGGCAGTTTTTGAACACATACACACCAATAAAACACTACACACTGATTGATTAAAGTAGGGAGCTCCGTGGCAGCAATATGTGCTTCAAAACACCAAAAGAGAATTTTCCGAAAGTATTTCCACTGTGAAATATCGACAGGCAATTAAGTCTTCAAAAACCTACCGGCAATAATTACTTTGTCCCTTAACCTGAAAACTAGGAGACAGGACAGAGTGCTTGGTTTCTGCCTAACTTCTTACTTCACCAGCTCTAAGAAAGGAAACGTTACTTGGGCAGAGGGCAACAGAGCAACAGCCACATTCCTGGCTTCAGGGAGAGACAGAGGCAGCAGGCTAACTTCACGGAACTGGGCTTCCCTCCTTCGGCCCCTTTTCCACAGGCTTCCTTACTGTCAGGTTACAAAACAAGATCAAGACTCCCATAGTCGTGACGACCTAGGGCAGTGGTGGCAAACCTACGGCACGGGTATCACAGCAGGCTGTTTGTATCACTGAAAGCTCTAAAAGGTTCTCCATCACTGGCCCAGGGTATCCAAAACCTTGGCACTTCTTCCAATAAGAACACCTAATGCTGTATTTGTCATATCAAAGGTATCCACAGCTGTTTCTTCGGAGAAATTTTTAAAAATATTTAGAGAAAAGGAAGCTATCGTAAGTCATTATGCATCTTCTTAATTATAAATTATTCCTCCTTCCTGTGCTATATCCAATTTGCCTTTGCAAACACTTTAAGTTAGATTTCCAGCACGGTCAAAGTAATGAATCGTATCTCACAAGTAACCAAAAGTTTCTAAGCGAAAAACCCCTCTTTCCTCTCACAATTTTTTAGTTTCACAAGACATTCTGAAAAATGTGAGAATAGTCACATATGTATATATACACACACACATATATATACAGCTATATAAACACGAATCCTTCAAACTGCTAGTTTCACTTGAGTAAGAACAACCTTTTATCTTTGAAAGCATAAGAGAACAAAACCAGAGACAAGCTATGACTTATGTACTATTTAGACAAGACTTGCGTCATTTCATCAAAAATTCTCTTAGTCAAATGACACACTGACTGCCTAACAAAACTGTGCTCAAGAGAAAGAACATAAAGTTTTTACCTGAGTGTCGATGAGAAGCCATGGCTCAGAGACCAAGCTCGGGAGCAGCACCTAGACAAGTCTTCCCTCAACCCCAGATGATAAGGCTATGGCTCATTTGTGAACATACATTTAAGGGGAAGCAGCTCACACAAAAATAACCAAGAGCAGATGTCCCACCCCTCCCCAGAGATCACAACCTTAATCCCACTAGAAAATTCTTAACCATTTTAGGTGATCCAAGGGAGAAGAATAGGACCCAGTAAAAATACCAAATGCTACATATAAATACCTGTGGGGCTACTCAGCATCCAAATTAGCTCCAGAGCCAGAGAGGCCACATAGAAAGTCATCCCTGTACCGGAATAAAATTTGGACTCAGCTCTCACATAGCTTAACAGTGAGCCAACCTTATTAATCCACTTTATATGCCTCAAGAGCTTGCATTCAGTCCTATAAACAACACATTTTTGCGCTATTAATGATAAAAGTAACTACAAGAGATAGACTTTTGTTACCAACATTATTAAAGGGGATTAGTGACTACAACTGTAGAGATTAAGGGCATTATAGATATTTAACACAGTGTCCTCCTTGGTATGTACCAGAGATCAGTAGAGCGCTGAAAAGGAGAGCAATTCTAGCCACCCATTTCCCTAGTGTCAGCGTGGACTGGGCCACGCATGCACAGCCCCGGTAGACACGCAAGATGACACTTTGTCTCACCAACTCAAACTCCTGCTTTTTACTCTCCGGGATAACAAAAGAAAAACCATGAATGAAAACAACCTTATATATTACACCAGCTCCACAGGCCATCACTGGCTAGAGACGGACAATCAGCAAATTCTAAGAAAAGCCTCCAGGATCCTGTAGCGCCCCCTCCCTTGTTCCTCCTCTGGCCTCATCCCTGAACCCCTTGCCCTGGCTCCTGCCTGACTGGTGTCACTGTCTCGTGTACCCTCTCAGCACGGAGCCTTTCCTGGTTGCTCCTCTACTCCCTTAAAGTCTCTGCTCCAATCATTCTGTCAGTGAAGCCTTCTTTGACCACCTGCATGGCTCAAATGGCAACCGTCCCCTGCCCCACGCACTCTTCCCACCCTGCTCCCCCAGTTGCTGTTCTCCACACTACGTAGGCCCTTCTAACAAAGTAGTCATCACACGGTTTCCCTTACTTGTCTCATTTTCCCTTCTGCTCCATGAGGGGAGGGACAGCACCTAGAATACAGGCCAGCTCCTAGGAGATCCTCAAAAACTATGTGTTGAAAAAATGAATTAAAAGGATGTAAACATGTCAATCATGCCTCCAAAAAGGTAGTTCTACCCAGAATCCTGACGCTGGCTTTGGTTACTGAACTTCAGGGAAGGCAGGCAACTTTCTTTTTTTTTTTTTTTTTTGGTTTTTCTCCGGTACCAGGAACCGAACTCACGACCTTGCGCTTGCCAGGCAGGCGCTTTTTGCCACTGAGCTAAATCCCCAGCCCCAAGGCAGGCAACTTTCATACGGGGGGAGCCCCGAGCCATGTAACTTTACAGCCACTGTTCTGTCTAATGGTGCATGTCGTTGCTTTTGGCCTTATTCGTCCCTACCTGGCTGAAGGCTGGAATGATGCTCTGCTCCTCTTTGTGCTCTCACAACACACAAGAGGTAAAAGCTTCAAAGATAAATGAATGAGTTTTCTATGTTATGCTCTTTAAGCATTCAAGGAAAAGTTATTCTAAAAGATATCTGATATTGTCCTTAACTCCTAGTTAGCTGAAGAACAGCATCACAATAAAAGCCAGGATATTGTAAGCAAACATATTACATGTTAGGGTCAAAAACAAAGCCTGGATAAAGAAGGGAAGTGGCACTATGCTCTTCCTGCAAAACCTTCTAGCCTTTCCCATGTCCAGACTGATTAAATTATGGCAGAGAGATTGGCCAGTTACAACAATACTGCACCCATAAAACGGACTTTTCACGCAGGGGAACTGCTTTTGTTCTACTAGGTTTTTGACCTTTACAACCCCTAACTTTCAGATTGCTGTGAAGCATATTTTTAGGTAGAGACAGTATCTTTTAAATGCTCCCTTACAGTTCTGTGGGTATTTTTTTTTTTTGTGCTGGGAATTGAACTCAGGACCTTGTACTTTCCAGGCACGCGCTTGTGCGGCTGAGCTATATCCCCAGCCCAGTTCTGTGGATAATAAACTTAGTGCACCAAATGCTTTTCTTTAGCGAGTCAATTCTAGTTTCATGTTATGCATTAAGAGGTAGCTTCCTGCAGCAAGAACAGTGGTTCCTTCAGATGTCTGATAACCACAGATTACAGACAGCCATACAGCCTTATGATACTGGCAAATAAATGTCTATTTTGGTGAAACATAAAATACTAAGACAAGAGAATTACTTTTCGATCACCCATTAGTCCCTACGACAAACCAGTGTGAGCTGGGTGTTTGACTCTACAGCTGCTGCTTTGATTCCATCTGTAACTTTTATCATCCAGGTAACTCTGCCTTCCTAAAAACTCCATGAAGCACAATGCACTGTCTGCTCAGACACCGGTCCCCACTGTTGATATTCTGAAGTCACAGAATCAGAATTTTCACAAAAAGAACAAAAAGGCCCTGTGCAATGTGAAAGACACAGTAGTGATAGTTGTTAACTTTGTTCTGTCTTGGTCGACAGTTCACAAACCTTGATGTTATTTAACAGACACCCCAGTGGTCACTGGCGTTATTAGTGTCAGAGATGATCCTGTTACACATTAACAGTATGGTTTAATGATATCCGTTATAATCACTGTACTGCTGACAAAGCACCTTCATGTACTATTGTGGAGTTGTCTGGTGTTTAGTGAAGCAACGAGAAAAAGGTGGATCTCAGAGGAAGAGTCCAGAGGCAGAGAAACAGCACAGAAGAATGTCGCATTTGCCCAGATGAGGTGGAGGGAAAAGCTGAGTGAGTGATAAGCAGTGACAATGGGCACAGGAAGGAAGACTAGGGAGGAGGGACACTACGGGACAAGACCGGGAGGACTGACTAGACAGAAAGATGGAACGGAGCCAGAGCCCTCTGAGGCAGAAATTCTGTGAATGTGGGAGGCACTGTGGGAAAGAATCCCACTTATTTTGGACTTTACAATGAAGTTCTTCTGAGAGGTCAATAATGAATCCCCTTAAACAGGATCCTGTTGTTGAGTAAAAAGAATAGTAAGATTATGGTGGAATCCCATTTGAGGGGATTCTCATACTTTAATCCTAAACTCTGCCTCCGAATCGCCCCTGGGAGGATCACACTTCCAAGTGGTATATCCAAAAACTCCAATGTCGTAAATGCAGTGACCCATTTGGCCCACACACATCCTCAGCAGTTCCTCCTTCGCAGCGTGACTTACAGTCACCCTTCTCCTTAACTCTATTTTCCTTTCACTGAAGACATTCCCAAATGGTTGGAAACTCAATTCAGACCATTACTAGCCATGAGTGACGGTCAGAAGCAAGAGTTTGATAACAACCTAGAATGGAATCTTCACGGATTTATCAGTGGTTTCATACTCTTCTCCTCTTTCTCGCTACTAGGAAATTAATATGCTACCAGTTTTTTCTCAATATAATTTTGTCAGGCTACTAGTCCCTCCGCCAACAATTTCTCCTGACTGACTCCAACTGCAAGATTAAGGCAGCTCGTCATGTACTATGATATGATGTGATTCAATGCTGAACTCTCCGGAGTATTTCTTGTTCTATGTACCATTGCCAGAAAAAGTCCAGTACATCTTTGCCCATCTCAGGTTCCTGTCAATCTTTAAGGCGGGAAGAGTATTTTTTCCTATTGACAAGTCCAATTTTGCGAAGTCACTGCTTAAATGTCATACCCATCAAAGAGCAAAATGAAGGAGCACCTCTAGAAACTCAAGAGGGGTAATTTCATCTTGCAAGAGCCAAACGAAAGTTCAGTATTCTGCTTCCCCAAACAGTATCCGAATCTCAGAGCAAAGGCAAAGGTGGCTGTGAAAACAGGAAGACCTCTTACAAGTAAGAGGCACATGAAATATAAGGCCCTGCAAACAGCAAGCACCATAAAAATGCTCATTAACTCCATTCAAGACCTGTTCATTTCACAACTGACCAGTTTAGCTGGTTTTTTCATAATATTCATTCAGGGACTAGTAACTGAAGCATGTGCCAATGGCCTCTGTCATTTGGTTTTTGGAAATGTCACTCCATAATTAGTAACAGTTTTAAATGTCTCCTGTCCCCAAAGTCTGCCCCTTCCTGTGTTGTTACTAGACCCTCAGCAAGATGTAGAAATTATCCCAATCATACCATACATTTATTTTAAGGACTTCTAACTGGAAATCATTACTTAGGACAACACTGAACAAGTGACTTTCCAGGTAAGACACTATGATTTATCTTGGATTTCAAAAAATTAGTGGTGGCACCTAAAAGAAAAGAGAAAATCAGAACAAGAAAATAAATAGAAAACAGTAAGAATTTTAGAAGGAAAATACATAATGCAAATACGAATCTCAGATCAAGGGGAAATGATTGTTTCATGAAACCAAGAAGCTGGTAAGGATAAATCTTCATCATATCTTTGGTGTGGAAATTCTCTTCCAGTCTATTTCTACCACCCACTTGTGATGTGTCTGTTTTATTTCCATGTTGCCATGTGCCATGCCTCAAAACACCCTTTCAATAATGCTAAATCCTGGCGTTCGCCAACCCCACCTGTTATGAACATTTCAAACCTCTGATAGATTCTTGATGGCTAAACATCCATGGGCTCATTCTGTAATTCACCCAGCTGATTAATATCCATAACAGGAAAGAAGAGCAAGTCAAAATATGCTGCCATCCATACCTTTACTCTTAATGCTCATAACTATGATTGACCGCCTTGATAGAGACCATCACAATACTTCATGATCCCTGATTCCTGATGTCAAACAGTAAGACTAGTAACATCTACTCTGTCTTCACTTATGAAAGGACTATAACAAATACATTACTTTATTATGCAGTGGTGTTTTCAAACATCGAACGGAGGACAGTGCTAGAATTCAAGGTCAAGGCTGAAGAAACTCACAAGTGCTTGTGTGGGTTTTACTCAGCAGAACATCTGAACTTAACATGGCACACAGAAGTGGGAGTGTGAGCATGGTAGGAGGGAAGTGACCAATTGGT